TAAAGTGTGCCGAATAGGGGTAGTTTAGTCTTCTTATGCTTGTTAAGTAGCTTGCTTATGTGGCACTGTTATTAGAGTCACTCTGCCCCACACTTAAGTAAGGGCATTTTTGTCTTTGTAAAGATCATTAGAATCTAATGAAGATTAAGGGGGTCGACTGTAGCAGGAATCCAACAGATTTCAACTGACCCTTATTTTCTTTCTTCTTCTTCTCTTCTTCTTCCTCTTCTCCTTCCTTCTCTTCCTGGTTCGGACTACTGTAGCAGCATTCGAAACAGACAGGAACAGATGATTCCATAAATCCACGTCCCCATTACAAAGAGGGCATTAAAGGTCTGGAAAATTGGCTCCCTTTCTGGCTAGTATCTCCTTAGTTAGACACCTTTCCCATGCCACGACCCAACAAAAACTTTCACTTTTGATGGTGCTGCTTTCCTCCAAATGCCCTTAACTGGGAATGCCCTTCTCAACTAATAGGTCATCATTCATCCAAAAAACCAATAGGTCATGGTAGAATGAGCTGACTGAAATCAGATCTGACTTGGACCATTTCCATTCTTGCCAGTTGACTTTCTATGTGTGCAGCAGAGCTGACAGGTCAGTCACTTGCTGCAGTTTCCAGTCATTAAAACTCCTAAAGGATGGATTCCAACTGTAGGAGTTACTCTGAGCCTGATATGATCAGCCATCACTGCTTCTTTGTTGCTCACCAAGGCAAACAGCTCTTGATACCTTTCTTTCAAGTCAGGAAAAACCTTATAAATTCCCTTGCACACTCCACAGCCATAGGACATTTGTGCTCCACTTGTGCCCTGAGCCATTTCTTGGACAAGATGCAGAACCCAAATCCCTTTGGTTTTCCGGTACAAATTCAGGGAGATTGAGAGCTTAATAAGGGAGTTAATGTTTCCTTCAAATGGGTAAGAAGAACAGCAAATGGAATGGTAGATACTCTAGCAAAGCAAGGGCCTATTGACAGCATTGGTTTTGGGCAAATTTGTGAACTCTAGTACTGTTGGGGTGAATCTTATACCCACCTTCTTGTAATCCTCAAGTTGCATTAATAAAACTACTTTCTACTGATAAAAAAATGAAAAAAGAAGGTTTGGACTCTCTGAATTCCCAATCCACCTTGGGCAATAGGCTTAGAAATACGATTCCAACTCACTGGAACTTCTCTTTATCTTTCCAACCCTTCCAGAAGAAATCCCTCAGAGCTTTCTCTATCTTCTCTGCCACCACTGAAGGAATAGGGAAAAGAGATGAGTAGTAATCTGGGAGGCTAGCTAAAACACTCCCTGTTAGAGTTAACTTACCACCCTTAGACAAGTATTGGACCTTCCAAGAAGCAAGTTTCCTGTTCACCTTCTCTAGCACTGGATCCCAAATGCTTTAATAAATCACCAAGTGTGAATTGAAAGAATTAATTGAGTTACATTTGTAAACTGATTCTGCAGGTTCTGTTATTGTCAGTTTCTATGTTTCTGCAGGGGCAGAACTGATGGTTGTCCAATAAAGGATGAAGTTGGCTTAACTCCTAATCTATAGAAACCTGATGGTGGAAGATGATTAATTTCCATGTTATTGTAGGATGGTTCTTAAATTACAACATGGGGTCATGAGATTGTAGACAAAGTTAAAGACATTAAAAAGATGCACGAGTGTCAGATACAGTTGGACACCAAGATCTGTCAATAGTGTGGCTCATGCCCTAGCAAGATTGGAAGTAGGAAGGAATCAACTGTTTTGGAGATTATTCCCCTGGGAGATGTGTAAGAAAGAAATAACAGAAGGGTGTAAGTAGCCTGCCCAAAATTAGGAGGCTGTTGTACAATCCTACCTGTACAGCATTCTTTATCAACTAATGACATTTTGACAATTACTGATCAAAAGTTTGTACATTTCTATGTTTCAAATTCTGTTCTGCAAAGGGTTTGTAGGCTCTTTTTACGAAACCCCAGTAACCTTTTAGCAAAGTGGGAACTAGATATTCTTGTAAGACAAGAGAAGGATATATATTTCAAATAAGGATATGCATCTGTTTATCACATTGTCTCCTGATGATATAGTACAGAATCAAAGATGTGATAGAAATATTCTTAATATATGTCAACTCTTCTTTATGTTAAGAACTTTTGTTTGGTAGCATCATTATCAGCTTCATGAATTCTTTTTGGTGGTATGACATATTTCATATGTATTTGTTATTTTGTGATTTCATGCAGTTGCAATCATTTGATGCTCTTGGGCTTTTAGAAATCACCAAACAGAAATTGCAGGAGCCTAAGGTCAGTATTAATGGCTTGATGACAGCTACTAATCTCCATCTTGCTTTTCATTGTAATCTAATTTATTCATATAGGACTTAATGCTTGTTCAATAATACAGGAAAAGCATGGAAGCATAATTGAGGCTGAGAAAGCACTTCAACAATGTCTTTCTACCTTCAAAGAGGTATACTCATTATATTATGAAAGAAATGAACTAGCTATTTGAATTTCTTGTCAATTTTTATGAGTCCACCTGTTGAAATTTCAGTAGAAGGAATATTTTTCATCTATTATATTTCTTTACTGTGTTGACCAGTGAACAGTTTAAAAATCGCTTATACAAAAAAAAAAGGTGTCTCCCTAGGCAACTAGGCGATAGAAATCACAAGGCAGGTGCCTTATTGTAAGCAATGTTTTAAAACACGGACGTGTGATGTGAGGCGTTCCACTACCTAGAGGTGTGAGGCGTAGTTCAGAACGTAAGCCTCCTGAACACAAGGAGGCGTAAGCCTCCTGAAGAGGAGGGGGGTCAGGAGGAAGGAGGAGGAGAAAGGGGGGATCTCATTTTTTCTTTATTTTTAATAAAAATCTTTTATATTAAGAAAAATAAAGATGCATAGCACTAGTTGAAAAGGGGGGGGGGGTGTCTTGTCTGTTATCTCTCTCTTTTGCTCTAATCACCATTGCAGGTCAGTAAGCATGGTATCAGAACATTGACAACCTGATTTCTGTTTGCCCTACTTCTTCTCTTTCTTCTATATTCTCCTTTATTTTAGTTACTGATTAAAGAACCCTTGTTCTGACCAGTTGCACACAAGAGGGCCTGTACGTAGAGTTTCTCTTTGGGTGTAGGGACCAAAGAGGAAAGTTTCAGCCCAGTTGATGCCCTACTAGTTCTTTGGCACTCCTAGATTAGATCTGGAACAAGACTTCTGGAGCTGGCAATTGCTGTAGAAAGATTTCCTCAGGTCTGGAAGATACACGTGAACTGAGGAATGTGTTACAGCTGGAGGCTTGTTGCTGTGAGCCTTTTTTTTTCTTACATCGAACTTGAGTTACAGCAGAGTACAGGCTGGTTCTGTTATTATAGCAGCAGGAGATAAGCTAGTAGAGGGAAGTACTGTCAAGAAGAACTAGTCTCCAGCTGGTAGAGGGAAGTACTGACAAGAAGAACTAGTCTCCAGCTGGTAGAGAGAAGTACTGACAAGAACTACCAGCTTATCAGTACTGGCCAACAGGGAGGAAAAGAGTACTGACAAGAAGAATCTTAAATGTACTCGTTGTGGGGTTGAGAGACACACTAAGGAGACATGTTAGATTCTCTATTCCCCATTTGAAACCAGCTGCATTATGGATAAGAAGCCTCAGAAGGGTCAGACATCAAGTGGAAATGTGGCATGCGTAATAGTGCAGAGACTCGGAAGAATACATCTAGAGTTGCTCCTGTGACAGGACAAACAACTAATTCTTCTGCCTCGGGGTCTTTCTTGGATTTTACAGTTGATGAAGTAGATCCTTAGCCAAGCCATGGCCCAGTTGAGGAACAACCCCCCTTGCATCCTCTTCCCTTGCAAAACAAGTATTGTCTCTGCTCATAGTGTTACTAGTCTTACACATTTTAGCTCTTGGGTATTAATTCAGGAGCCACTGACAATATGAGACGTATGTCGTCTTTGTTTTCCTCCTATCACCTACTGTCTGGCCAAGAAAAGGTGAGAGTAGCTGATGGTTCTCTCTCCACTATTTTTGTTAAGGGGGAGCTAAACCTCAGCAAGGATCTCTCCCTTAAGTCTGTTATTCATTTCCTAGCTTTGCCTCAAATTTATTGTCCATTTCTAAACTTACTAAGAACTTAAACTGCAGTTTTTTCCTACTCATTGTGTTTTATAGGACAAATTGGCAATGAGAACGATTGGGAGTGCTCATGAGTTTGGGGGCCTTTACTATTTTAATTGAGACACTAATGCAGCTCTGCATTCATCTACTTTGAGTGGTCGGGATGACAAGTTAGTAGCTAAGTTGCATCTGTGGCATGTTAGGCTAGGTCATGTGTCTTTTCTTCTTATGAAAGAATTATTTCCTGAGTTGTTTCAGTTAGTTTCAAGTCAGAATTTAGTTTGTGGAGTATGTCAAATGTGAAAGCAATTTATCCAATTTCAATGAATGAAGTTCATGCTCCTTTTGATTTGGTCCATTCTGATGTTTGGGGCCCCTCTCTTTAGATGGCTTCCGATATTTTATTAGCTTCATATATCACTAATCTAGATTCATGTGCATCTACTTCTAAAAAGTCGTGATGAAGTACCACAAATAACTATGATATTTTATTAAATGATTGACACATTTTGGCGAAAAGATTAAGCAATTTCACTCAGACAATGTTGCTAGGCATTCCTTGAATGTGTTTATGGAGGAAGTAGGTGTTTTGCACCAATCATCTTATGCAAGTACTCCCCCACAAGAACAGGCACTTATTAGAGACAGCTCTGCCAATAGGAATAATTTCCCAATCATCTAAGTTTCTTTTGAAAACGGGACCCCATCTAATTCCATTCTTAGCCTGCTCAAAGCTTTATTCAACTATGGCATCCTTATCAAGAGCCAAACTAAATAGAGGGGAAAAGATCAGCTAAAGATGAATTATCTGCAGCCCATTTATCAGTCCAGTTTACTTTATTACCCTTCCCTATCTTATGCTTGATACCTTTATAGATATCAGGGTGGATTTTCTGATTTCCATTCCAAGCTGCACACCCCATATTACCATTCTTTATCTTTAAATTTTTATTTAGTATAAAATGATAACCTTTGATTTCAAATTTGACATGGGACGGCTCTGTTAAATACTTCTTATGTTGTCTTTCTGATTGATGATTTGCTACACTTTCAGAGGAAAATTAATGTTATCGGCAAAGATAATTGCTGCTTTTTTCAATTTCATGCATGGTAATTGGTATATAAAACTAGAGAACTTACCTAGAATTTATTTTTTATTATGTAAAATTCTATCATCTAAGTGCCTTCCTAGTTGACTAAGCACCCTTCTGTTGCCTGTAATCACCTACGCCTTAACAACTTTGTCCACTAATTACCAATTCATAGAGTTTTTTGTTTCTTATCCGTATTAACAATATAAAAACTTGAAATGCTGAATATAAGAATATCTAGTACTGTTTTTTACTGTCAGAAGTATGCCATCTGTGCAGCCTAGAATCCAGATGTCAATCTCCAATTCTCCTGAAGTCAAATCTGAATACCTTTCATGTTTGAAGCATCTCTTGGGCCTTATAAGTGAGAGCACAGGTGATGGGATACAGCAGTCAAGAAAAACTGTTCTGAAAGAGCTTAAAGATGAAATCAATCGTGTTGAGACTGAACTTTCATCAAAGAGAAAGCATAGAAAGTAATGATGCAGCTTATTTTAGTTAAAACTGTAAATCATGCATATGGTGGTATATATTGTTGCCAAAAGGTGACAGGCCCACGCAAAGGTTACCCTAAATAAAAGTAGGCACTTTTAAAATACCATATTAATTTTTCTTTGATGCTTATATGAAGCCGAATCTATAGGTTAAGTATGACTTGATTGGGAGACAATAAGAAGCCAGTGACCTGTTCATGGGTCGGGATTGGGCTTGGACTTTGCAAATATTTGAATGGGCCTGGCCCAAAGCCACTAACATGTACAAATTATTTGTAATCGTGACTACTATAGCAGTTCTAGTATTGTACTCTGGTAGACTGTTTATCCCATACCAGAATCACTTTGGCATTGTACATTTGTTGCTCAACAGATAATTGTAAATTTGTAACTACTGTCAGCAGTTTTATGGAGATCGTATGATAAATAAGGCCAATGGTTGTATCCTAGAGGAATGATAAGGAAACTCGTGAGGAACTCAACAGCTAATCTGGTTAATATTCAACACATGAGATGCACAAAACTACTGTATTTTACTGTTTGTATTGACTAAAATGTCATTTAATAAGTGGTCTGCATTTAGCATTCCTCCGGTATGCTTTATTTGGTAAGAATTTGGTACAGGGGTAAATCTATGATGCGGGAAAGGTATGATACTGCAAGAGCTTTGACCAATCAACCCCCTCCCCCCAACCCCCCCACATTCACATGAATTTTGATGACCATTACATGATTGGTTACCACTTCTATTACACCAGATGATTGGTTATAAGTTTTTCCCAGTATCATAGTTTAACCCTTTGAACAGGAATGGTTAGTGGTATATCCTTGTTCTGCATGGTGCAATCCTTTTTTTCTTCTTTTCTCTCTGGTAACAAATACACAGTCTATAAGCAACAAAAGGAGTATAAGAAAGATAATATTAGGATATCAGGATATGTTTATGTTTTGGATGTGCATGGATACAATGGAATGTTAGGATAAATACATTAGGCTCAGTTTGGAAGGAGTACAAATGCAAATATGTAGAGTGCAAAACCTTATATTTGTATTATTTTATATGTATTTGCACTGTACATATTTGCATTTGTACTTGTTCCAAACTAAGCCTTAGGAAAAGTCATATTTCACCGAAATCTAAGGTTCTAACGACTATAAAGTTGTAAAAACATAGTTTATGTGAGGTGTAAACTATTGGGAGGGATATATTTGGGAAAGGTTGAATATACTTAAAAAGTTAATTTAAATTTAATTAATATTTATGAAATATTAATTTCAAATATCATTTTTTATTCTTTATAAGCTTTACAAGACAATGTTGTTTTTTTTTAATGTGGGTTAAAAGTAAAATAAAACCATATTATTAATAGAGCAATTTGAAACAGTTAATATGGGTAGATTTGAAATTTAAATGTCATTTAATATGACCATAGAAAAATCTTTGTTGCCAGAGACATGATACCAGAAGAGGTTTGACCAATAATCAAAACCCATGTGAATTTTGATAAATACGTGATTGGCTGCCACTTTATTGATAACTACTGATTGGTTACAAGTTTTTTTCTGGTAGCATATCTTTCTGTTATCATGCTAAATTTCCATGGCAAAAGCTGTGCTGCTGGACATCATATCTTTCTGGTATCATAGCCGAATTCTATGACCACAGGTCTATCTTAGCTCCATATTTAGACCTCATTTGGAAGGATTTCAGTGATTGAACTGCTTTCAGTAAACTGCTTTGAAGAAGCCATTAAACCCAACTTCACAGGAAAGTTAATTTTTTGGCTGAATGAAAGAGTATTTGGGTTTTCTGGATTTTTTACCAAACATAACTTCTAGGCTTTCCGTATGGAGCTACCACCTAGCTCTTCTAAGTCAAGCTGCTACAGGAAAGTCATCCCAAATGGGCACTAATGGATTGAACTCTGTAACACCTTAATGGCCACAGTAGCCAGTACTATTTTTTTTCCTCACCACAAACGAAATTCAGGTATTTTTCAGCCAATATCAGTACCAGCACCATCAGCTTAAAGCAGATGGAAAGGAGTCTTCAGTATCTACTCTATGCCAACTTCGAATAAAAACCAAGATCTTCATGTTTGTTGCTAGGATGCCATTCGATGGCTTCATGCCCAAGGTTCAAAGTATCGTTACGTATCGTTTTGGGACCTTTTCGATACACCCCTACAGTGGGTGTATCGGGGGTCTGACCGGTTCACGGGATGGAGGGGTCCTAGACTGGCTCCCTTGAACCAGTTTTGAAAAAACAAAAATAAAAATAAGTAAAAGAAAGTATTGAAACGCCCGATATGCCCCTACAGGCATATCAGGCGTATCGATATTTTGAACCTTAACCTTGTTCATGCCAATACCTGCCTTCAGACCAAAATCCTCGTCCAAAATCCTCGTGCTTTAAGCTAGAAGTGGTAGCTTGTCGGATTTGTATAAAGCTAGGAAGTTGTTTGATGAAATGCCTGAATGGACTCAACATCTTGGAACACCATGGTACTTTCTTATTCACGAGAGAATGATCATGAGGAAATCCCGGAGATATTTATTAGGATTCAGAGTTCGGGATTCCACCTGATAAATTCTCCTTCACAAGTGTTGTTATGGCTTGTTCAACTCTTGAGGACAGCTGTGGAGTTTGACAGGTCCAAGGTTTATTAATCGTTAGGAGCGGTTTGAAATATAATTTGGTTGTAGACATGTTCTTTGATCAAGGGCTAGATTTGGGTCAATGAGTGATGCAGTTACTACATTCATTTAGAGTTATAGGAAGAATGCCATTATGCATTCATTAAAGGCTACGTGAGGATAATGAAGGAAGTATGGCATTATGGAGAGTTTTTTTAAGCATGCAGAAGTTGGGATTAGCCCTGACAATTTTAGCAATAAGCACCTGTGGTGCATTGAAATCATTGGACGCAAAATGCATAGACACTAACAGCTGTTTGCAAATGTTGAATCAGATGGAAGATCGGGATCAAGCAACTTGGAATTCTATGGTATCTGCTAGAGCACAATTTTGGCATTATGGTGAGGTTCTAATGCTTATTTCAAGAATGCAGAAGTGACACTACAAGAGAAACTGGTTCAATTTTGGAAGCATTCTTGTTGCATCAGCCATTTGTGCTGATATTTGAAACAGGTCAGATGTTGCAAGGCTATTTGGTCAGAAATTTTTTGAATACTGATATCATTTTGGGGAGTGCATTGGTAGATATGTACTCGAAGTGTGGACATGTTGAAGAAGAATACTTTTCAGAGATTATTGGAAGGAAATGAAGTGTCATGGAATGCTCGCATTGCAGGGTATGTCCCGGAGGGAAAGGTGAAGGAAGCACTCTCAAGTTACATAGTGATCTGCAACTAGAATAAAATATTCAACCCAATGCTTGTTGCATCAGCTAGTTGAGCTGATACTGAAACAGACAAGTTGTTGCATGGCTATTTAATCAGAAATTTTTTGGATTCTGATATCATTTTGGAAGTGAATTGGTTAATATGTAATCAAAATCTTGACATGTGGAAACTCATAAAACTTTTCAGAAATTGGAAGAGTGGAATCAAGTGTCATGGAATGCTCTCATTGAAGGGAGAGAAAGGTGAAGGAAGCAATGTTGTAAAAATGTTACGATTGGAGATACAATTCATGATTTGAATCATGAATCCCAAGAGTTTCAAGTTAAATCTTATGATCTAAGTTCTTTTTTTTCTGCAAAAATCTTACATACTTATGTTTGAATCCTACAATTTGATTCATAAATTTAATGATTTATGGGATTCTTGCAATGCGTTGCAATTCAAATAATCTAATTAAGAATTAATTCTCTACTGTCATTTTTGTGTTTATATTTACGGTCCATTTCTGCAAATGAGCATTTACTATTCTTTTAACCTCTTTGCTAAGGAAAGGAATGAATATCAAGATCAAGGGAAGAAAATCCATGTCTGCATTAGTCGAAATTGAACTGATTCACATGTATGCAAAATGTTGGAGACTGAACTCTGTATGGTCCCAGGAAGCTTTTGATAGAATGGCAGAAAGAAATGCGTACTCATGGAACTCATTGATTGAGAATATGACCAAAACAACAAAGTTGGTATAGCACTAGAACTCTTCAGACAAATGCAACTCATGGGAATTAAACCAAACTGTTTTTCGCTCTCCACATGCCAAAGCTTTTGCAACTCTGAGGGAAACAAATCTATGGTTTCATATTAAGAAATGGCCTTGTGAAACAAGGGATTCTGCAATTGCTTGTTGATAAGTATGTGAGGTCTGGAATCCTGAACTATGCATGTAAGACCTATAATAGAAGGAATGAGAAGGATATCATCCTACACAAATTGATGGTTTCCTCATTTGTGAGGTTTGGCATGATGACAAATTGCAAAGAACCTGTCTAAACAGATGGAGCATGGAGGAGACTGGAGAGGACCACAGTTTCATGGAATTATGTGCTTGGTGGCTACATAAAAAGTGGATCCCTGATGAAGCCTTCAAACTTTTCCAAAGAGTGCAGGAAGAAGCTGTAGATTGTAATTCTCAAACACTAGTAATTATGATCAATCTGTGTGCAAACCTACCGGCTCTTGAGCAGGAGCAACAGCTGCATGCCCTTGCCCTCAAAAAGGGATACTGCACAGTTCAGTGGTTTTCGATAGTGCACTGGTTAACGTATTCACAGAGGGTGGGGCCACTGAAGAAGAAAGAATATTTGACAAGGTGTATAGTAAAAACATCTCCTAGAATGCAATGATCATTGGCTATGCAGAGCACAGATTTAGTGACTAAAATCGTCTTACTGTAGAATTTCAAGGAACCGCTGAACGTAAAAGCTTGATCTATTAGGTGAGGCAACTGAATTTGTATATATTCTCTAATAGAGGTGAGCATGGGTCAGTTTGATTCGGTTCCATGGCAGAACATGGCCGGAACCTACCCTGTGAAGGTCGGTTCCATGGTTGGTTTTGGTCTTGGTGGTTTTGGGATTGGTTCCAAAGCCTACCAATGGAACCTGTTCTTTCTTTACTCTCCCCCTTCAAGAAAAAAAAAAAAGAAACATGTTCTTGATTTTCAATAAATATTTAAAACTTATATCATCTTTGTTGATTAAATTGAGTAGTTTAATATGTAGATTATCGTTATATGGTTTAAAATTTATAATTTAAATTTAAATTTTGTAAATATTACCTTTTACATTACTTATTGTACACATTCAAAAGAGTTCTATTCCAAAAGTTCCATGGCTAGCGACACCTAAGTTAGTATTTATACTTAGGGTGACAGCATACAATAAAAAGATAGGAAAATGGCAAAAGTATTCCCCCACCCGGAAGCTATGCATGACACATTTCAACACTCCCCCTCAAGTTGGAGCATATATGTCAATCATGCCCAATTTGT